AGGCTGCAGAGAGAAGGGTCCTGTCCCCCACCGCCCTGCAGGTCCCAGCGGTGGGACCGATGGGACAGGGAAGCACAGGGGAAAGCTGTTAGTGGGCAAGTGCTGAATGGTGCAAGTGAGGACCCAAATTCAGGTGGTTTCGCTCGGTCTCGACGCAATCCCGGCGTCGACGTTTGAGGCCGGGCTGGAAACGCTCGTGCCTTCGTCCGTACAAAAAGCGGGAGCGTCGCTTGGCAAATGCGCTCGTCTTACTCGCTGTCCCCTCATCAGGCAGGCAGCGGCAGACAGTAATGGCAGAGCACCTCCTGCCCTCTTCTTAGGACTTTTTGGGGCGTTCAGGACTCTTTGGGGTGTCCCTATGTGCTTTAGGCAGGGTGCCTTTCCCTATAGCAGCCACCTCATCGCTCCCTGCCCCGGCATCTTCCCGGGGGACAGCAGCACGCCGTAAGGAAGCGGGATATCTCTGTAGGAAGAGCACGTTACCGTGCCGCAGCCCTGACGTGCCTTGGCCGGTTCTCGCCGCAGACAACCGCTGCATGGACAGGAGGTTCCTCCCCACCCGTGCCAAGCAGCTGGTGGCCCTGGCCAGCTTCCCCGGCGCCGGCAACACCTGGGCACGCCACCTGATCGAGCTGGCCACCGGCTTCTACACCGGCAGCTACTACTTCGACGGGTCTCTCTACAACAAAGGTGAGGGGAAGGGTTGGGGAGTTGTTTTCAGGGGTGCACGGGTCCCACCTGAGCTGGGAGAAGGTGCTGGTGCCATCCCTTGGGTCTGGAGGAAGGGGAGGGCAGAGCCCGGTACCACCGATGCTGCTCCGTGGGATGGTTTGTGCTGGATGTGTCCTGGTTCGAAGGGTATCGGAGGGTCCCGATGGCGTGCGTGCCCTCCCCGTAACCTCCCCGTGCTGCCTACTAACCTCGGTGAGGACCAGTTTGAGGCAGAACTGGCGTTTCTCCATCGTGCTGGTGGTTTTTAACCCTCCGTGGGGATTGGAATTTTCTAGAGGAGGAACCGGCGTGACCCCGACCCTGGCAAACGAGGCAATTCCTGCCTTTTTTTTTTTGCCCTAAGAAAAGGACAACTTGGGTTTTTTGATCAGATTTCCCCAGGAGCTGGTGTTCGTGGGTTTGGCACTCTCGTCTCGTGATGCACAAACTAAGAAGCAAATGAAAGTCACGGCTGCGTGGCGAGAAGGACTGATGCAGCCCTCCAGGTTGGGAGCGGACGGTGCTGGTGGCACCGTTATCCTGGAGGACAAACGTCCCCACGTGCTTCCCGAGCAGCTGCAGATAAAAATAGCACCGTGTCAGGGCATCTGGGGAACACCAACACCCGAATTAATGAATATTAGCAGTGCAAAAAAGCGCCGATGAGCTCACAGGGGAGGGGAATGGAGGGAGGTGATCTCATTTGCCTGTTCTCCTCGGGCTGAAGGATCTGGTGGAGATCCGTCTTCCCATCCTGGGCAACACAGGTATTTGCCCAGTAAATATTTCACGGAGGAGGGATGCTGTCACTCCCACCTCTTGTGCCCCCCGGGGCAAAGCAGCAGCGCTGTGCCCACCACATTGGTGCCGGGGCCGATAGCACGTGGGCTTTGGGGACCCCGAATTAAGCAGCGAGGATAAGTTTAAAGCCAAAAAAAGCTTGAGGCAGGCATGAAGCTTCTTCAGGAAGAAGCCAGCTCCTCCCAATAACCCACCATATTGCAAGGGGGAGGGAAAACACCATTTCCCCCATTTTGTAGCCATTTGCAGTAGTTTTATTTGTAGACCTTGAAGGTTTCTCCTGCTTTTCCTTCCCCTTTTTGCAGCTCTGAGAGGAAATCCTCCTTTCCTCCCCAGCCGTGGTGGAGCTGGGATCCGTACCCGGGGCACCCCCATGGCTTGTGGGCTCTGTCCCCAGGGTACCCGCACAGCTGGCCAGGGTCCGTACCCGGGGTACCCCCCAAAGCCCCGCTTGCCCGACACCATGGGCAGCAACACCCATTTCTTCGAGATTTGCCAAATTCAGCCTTTCAGAGATGGAGATGCTCCGTGCTGAGGGAGGGAGCCTGGACTGTACCAGCCCCCGGTGCTGGCACCCAGCCCGCGGTGCAGCCGGCGTCGAGCGTCCCACGGAGAGCATCATCACCGGGCAAAAGCCTTGGCGAGGTTTTGCTCAGCCGCCCGAGCGCGGGTTTCGTGTTTATTCTGGGCTGAGCGCGTCGGAGGGGCCCGGAGGTATCCAGGCAACTGGCTGATTAGCCATCACATCCCTGCGTCGCGCGGCGTGGCTGCTGAAAGCAAATTACACATCCATAATTGATGTAGTACAGCTGCTTACAGCTTATCTCCCCCCTCAGCTCAGCTCCGCCACCGACACGCTGTTCCCGGGCAGTTTGGGTTGTGCTTCGCAGGGGCCGGGGGCGCAAAGGGGCTGGGAGCGGTGCCGGGCTCAGCCCCGATACCCCGTGCAGGGGACACGGGGGATGGCGGTCCCCTCTCCGGACCCCCCCCCATGGCATCACTGCAACCCCTGGGCTCATCTGCAGCCCCACTAGCATGGGGTTGGGGTTTTTTTTACCCTTCTTAATATATTGGGAAGGTTTAAATGCTGTGGCCAGGGAGCTTGTGGCTATAAAAATGTGCTCTTGACCCCACCAATATAAGCGTAAGGTACGTTAATGCAGTATGCGGTTATTTAATGTCGGTGTGCTTTGCCCTGGAGGGAAGCTGGGCTGCCCGCTATCGGGCTGCTCGCTATCGGGCTGCTCGCTATCGGGCTGTTGCAGACCGTCTGGCCGAGAAGAGCCGAGCACGGCTGGTGAGGAGGCAGCCCAGTCCCTGTGCCCGCTACCCACCCTCTCCTACATGAATTTTACATCATGGCTTGACTCGTAACTCAGCCAAATGAATGATTTCCATCTGGGAGAGGGATGCGAATTCTACTTCAAGCCTCAACTGCTTTTATCCAACTGTACTTTGCAACCTGATATCCCCCCATCGTTCCCTTTCCCCAGCTCACTTTTATTATTTTTATTAACATCGGCACCAGCCGCTTCTCAGGCGCCCGCTTGCTCTGTCCCGGCAGGGTTCAAGGGCGAGAGGGACCACTGGCGAAGCGGGAGGACGATTTGCATCAAAACCCACGAAAGCGGCCAGAAGGAGATCGAATCCTTCGATTCGGCCATCCTGCTCATCCGAAACCCCTACAAGGCTCTGATGGCGGAGTTCAACCGCAAATACGGGGGGCACATCGGCTTCGCGGCTCACGCCCACTGGAAGGGCAAAGGTAGGCTGGTGGGCTCGGCTGTCCCTGCCCCGCTCCCACGGGATCCGGGTGGGCGAGCTCCAGCCCAGGCACCGGAGCTCCCGAGCTGTCGTTAAAGCCCAGCAGAGCCCGAGTCTGGTCCCCATGGGGGGAAGCCCGGGCTGTGCCACCCTTTTGGGGTCCCCCGTGTCCGTCTCCCGGCGTGACCCGCAGCATCGCCGTCACATCAGGGTGTTATTTCTGTGCGCCCAGCTGCTCCGGAGACACTACCTTTCCCATGCACAGGCGTGTTGTGGAGGCTTGTTAATTATAGCAATTTACAAATTGCTGTTGTGGAATTGACTTCATTGGAAAGAGTTAAAATATTTAGCTTGATTGAACATCTGCTACCCTTAATTCAGAGTTTATTTAAGGGGAGCTTTTGCTGTTGCTGTTATGTGCCTGGATTTCGTTATCGCCATGTGCTTGCAGGAGACAGCCCAGCCCCGCTCTCCCCACCGCCCCATCCCGTAAAACCCTGGAAGAGAAATGTCCCACCGCTTCCCCGGTGGCTTTTCTCCCTGGGCAGATCCCTGGGCTGGCATCCACCCCCGCCGTGGTGGGCTCCGAGCCTCTTGCTAGTTTTTATCCCCATCTGCTGCATCCCAAAGGACAACTGCAAATCGCAGGTACAGCGGGCAGCGGGAATGCGGACGGTCCCCTGGCCCCAGGGAACCCTCCTGAGCCTTCCCTGCCCCAAACCCCCCCAGGTGTCCCCACCTCGGGGAGGGGGGGGGCAGGCAGAGGGGACCCTTCCCTCCACCCCAGGTCCCATTTGGACACGCATCAAAAATACATCACTAAATTCTTTTCCAGAGGATGTATGGTGTAATTAGCTGATGGGTTAATTGTCAGGTTAATTAACCGTTGGGACAACTTGCTTGGAAAGATGGGGGTTTTCCATCGCTGGAGGACTTTCATCGGGCTGGGAGGGTTGCTGAGAGCCTGACTTTCATCAGGCTGGAGACCCCCGTTTCCCTGACCCCACGTGGGGACCCAGCCTGAGGAGGACCCCGGCCGCGGACCCCCGGGTGGGGGCAGTTCGTTTGTGCCAGGTTTGCAATTAGCACTTGGGTGCATGGTTAAATAAATCATCCAGAGGACAAAAAAAAAAAAAAAAGTGATTAAAGGTGAGTAATTAAGATGGGGCGTGGGGCTCCCATCCCTGCAGCCTGACTCTCCAAACCGGTTTCTTCTCCGAGCAACTAATTTTGCGGCAATTTTGGAAAAAAAGCTCTGCCCTCCTCCCAACCTCGTCCGTGGCTGCCGGCGTCGGGTGGGGGGACTTTTCTTCCCCCCCCTCCCCGTT